AATTTTCTTTTTTTTCCCCAAAAGTTAGTTCTAAGTACTAACCAAAGTACTGGACATATGTTAACTGTCTTTAATCTTTATTAACAACTTTATAAAGTAAATGTTTTCTAGTTATTAGGTAAACAAACTAAGGCTTCAAGACAGTAAATAACTCATCCAGGTTTACAAAGCTTTGGCATGGTGCTTCGGCATAATTTCATCTGATGTCTGTACAAAGGGCACATGGGTGTTATGTACTTTGTGAGCACGTGGGTCTGAGAATTCCTCTCTGTTGTCTTCCATTAGTAATTTGTCTCAATGAGAATTACTGGATTACAATTCTTTCCATAGATGTTTATAGTTCAAATTTGTTTCAGTGAAAAGTGGGCTCAATTGCACTTAACAGAAAACTCAGATCACAGTGGCTTTTTAAATATATATATGTAGAGAAAGGGATCCAGAAGTAGAATCCAGAGCTGGTATCGCATGGGCCTCGGTGTCCACCATCTTTCTTTTTGCTTTAATCTTCCTCCATGTAAACACTAAATGTGTGTTTCTTAGCAGGCAGCTCCCATTCCTTCTCCTGTATCTCCAAGTGGGCACAGGGTGCCACTGCAGGTACAGCTCTCATCCATATTCTATACAGCAGGAAGAAGCAAGGGGCCGGGAAACAGGTTCAAAGTTGGCACATTGCCGCACCTAACAAAAAGGAACTAAGGAAGTAGGGGTAGTTAGTTAACAGCTTTTACAACAGTCTTATCAGGATATGTCTAGGTATTTAATTTATTTCTTAACACTTTTGTTTAGGACTTTACTCAGAAGTATGTCCTATTATATCTGCAATTGTTGCTTTGGGTATATTTTTTTCTGGTTTTATTTGGTTATATTTATTCTCACCCTTGTCTTCTATGTGACTTTAATTTTCTGTGTTGTAATTTTGCTCATTTCTATCTCTAATGGATTTCAAAATTCCAATATTTACATTAGATTCTTTTTAAAAAATGTATCTCATTTAGCTCCTTTCACATTTTTCTGCTTCTTGGCCAATTCCCTTTACATTTCAGACTCATTGTTTTTTATCTCTTGTATCAGAGAGGAATTTTGAGAAAAAATAATAGAAATGCGAAAGAAATACTGTAGCAAACAGCTGTATACCCATCACCAGGAACTGATAATTGGTTACATTTTCTCATATTTGTTTTGTTGGCTTAAAATTCAACCAACCTCCACCCTAACTCTGGCAATCCCAAACACCCTTACTGTCCTTCTCTTTTCTCTTCTCCCTTTTCCACAGCACTTATCAATTCCTGAAATAACACAATTTCATTATATTTTTACATCCCTACCTCTGGCATATAAGGTCCCTGAGGGCAAGATCTTTGTCTTTTTTTGTTCACTGGTGATTTCAAAGTACCTAGAACACTAACTGGAATACAGTAGATACTCAATAAATATTTCTTTTTCTTTTTTCTTTTGAATATATCATCTTTATTAAACTTTTCCATTACCATTTTGTCCCGTTACATCCCCCTACCCCAAGCAATCACCACACTGTTGTCCATGTCCATGAGTCTTTTTTCATTTTTGCTCAATCCCTCCACCCTCTAATCTCCCCCCACCAGCTATCATTTGTTCTCCATCTATGAGTGTGTAAATATTTTTTGAATGAATAAATAAAGGAAAATTATATTTTTAAATCATGTAGACTTATGGACTTAGTCCATTGCTTTTAAGTGCTATGTTACATTATCAGCAAAATAATAAACATAGCTAATGTTCATTAAGTGCTTATTATGTTCTAAGCACTATTCTGGCTTTATGCTTCTCATATAATGCTCCAATATACCTGTAATATAAGTACTGCTAGTAACTCAAAGGTCACAAATGAGAAATTAAGACCAGTGGTGGACACAAAATCAATGAACAGATATCAGTTGCATTTCTACACCCCAACAACAAAACATCTGAAAAAGAAATAAGGAAAATAATTCTATTCACAATAGTATCAAAAACAATAAAAACACTTAGGAATAAATGTAACCAAAGAGGTGAAAGATCTGTACACTGAAAACAAGAAGTCTATGATGAAGGAAACTGCAGAGACACACACGAATGAAAAGCTATTTCATGTTCATGAATCAGAAGAATTAGTATTGCTAAGATGTCCATACTACCCAAAGTCATCTACAAATTCAGTGCAATCCCTATCAAAATTCCAAGGCATTTTTCACATATATAGTACCAAAAAATCCTAAAATTTATATGACCCTACAAAAGACCTCAAACTACACAAAGCAATCTGAGAATAACAAAAGCTGGAGGCATCATACTTCCTGATTTCAGACTATACTGCAAGGCTACAGTAATCAAAATACTATGGTACTAGCATAAAAACAGACACATAGATCAATTGAACAGAACTCTAAGCCCCAGAAATAAACCCTCACATATAGTCAACTAATATTTGACCAGCAAAACAAGAATATTTAATAGAGAAAAGATAGTCTCTTTAATAAATGGTGTTGGGAAAACTGATAACCACATGCACTATAAAAATAGAGCCCTATCTTATACAACTCACAAAAATTAACTTGAAAATAGATGAAAGACATAAACATAAGTCCTGAAACCATAAAACTCCTATAAGAAAATATAGGGAAAAACTCCTTGACATTGGTCTAGGCTACATTTTTTTTTGATATGACACCAAAAACATACACGACAAAAGGAAAGATTAACAAGTGGGGTTATATCAAACTAAGTCTTCTGCACAGCAAAAGAAACCAATAAAATGAAAAGACTGCCTACAAATCATATATATATATATATATATAGGGGGCTAATATACAACAAGAACTCATACAACTCAATAGCATAGATAAATCTGATTTTAAAATGGACAGAGGGTCTGAATAGACATTTTACCAAAGAAGACATACAAATGGCCAGCAGGTACATGAACAACAACAAAAAGTTCAGCATCATCAGGGAAATGCAAATCAAAAACAACAATCACTTAACACCTGTTAAAATGGCTGTCATCAAAAAGACAAGAGATACTTCAGTGTTTGTTGGCCAGGATGTGGAGAAAAAGGAACCCTTGTGAACTGTTGGTGTGAATGAATGTAAATTGATGTAGCCACTATGGAAAACAAGGTGGAGTTTTCGCAAAACATTAAGAATTGAACTACCATATGGTCTGGCAATTTCACTCCTGGATATTTGCCCAAAAGAAATGAAAACAGAGTCTAGTGGAGCTATCATCTCTCTGTTGCTCACTGCAGCATTATTCACAATAGCTAAGATATGGAAACAAGGTAAGGGTCCATAAACAGATGAGTTGATAAAGATGTGGTACATATATATATATATGATGAAATATTATTCAGCCATGGGAAAGAGGGAAGTCCTGCTACCTGCAACAACATGGATGAACCTTGAGAGCATTATGCTAAGTGAAATAAATCAAATACTGTATGACCTAATATGTAGAATTTAAAAAAGTCAAACTCACAGAGTTGAGTGGTAGTTACCAGGTGAAGGGGGGTGGAGGAAATGGGGAGATATTGGTCAAAGGATATCAATTTCCAGTTATATGACGAATAAGTTCTGGAGATCTAATGTGCAGCATGGTGAGTGTAGTTAACACAGTATTATATACTTGAAAGTTGCTAAGAATGTTGATATTAAATGCTCTCACCATGAAAAAACAAATGGTAATTATGTGACATAATAGAGGTATTAAGCTATGTTGGTAAACATTTTTGCAATACACAAGTGAATCAAATCAACACATCGAACACCATGAACTTGAACGAGGTAATATGTTATTTATATCAATAAAGTGGGATGAGAGGAGAGACCAGTGAGTGGCAGAGCTGGATTAAAACCTAGGCTCCTGGTCCCAGAGCTATGAACTAAACCACTGTGCTTGGGTGCTATAAAATAAACAAACCACATTTATTTATTCTTTTCTGTGGTGACATTTAGTTTGTCTGCAGTTTTGCCTATCATGAACAAGTTTCAGTGAACATGATGTTCAGTGATTTATCTCCTCCTGCATGTGTGGAATGTTTCCTGAGGGTACATATAATTCAATTGGACCAGCTATGGAAACCTTTTTGCTGTTGTTCATATTTTGAGAGAACAGAGCAGAGCAAATGCTGTTTAAACTTTTCTTCTTTCCTTCAGAAATTTTTTTCTTGGACAGAATATGTGTTCATGAGTTCATGTGTCTTTTGTTCCCTGATCTATTTGGAGCATCTAGAAGAATGTCAGGCACGTGAGAGAAACTCAATATTTAGTCAATGTATGAATAGTTCCATGAATGGTTCTTGAATGTTAGGCTCTGCTGCCTTAATGATGCAAATGCTTTTTACAGGGTCCCAAACTGTGTGAAGAAATTTTCTATTTAATCACTCTTACGCATTGATAATTTTAACCAAACTTTGGATGTACCCCAAAAGGAGACTGTGAGAAAGGATGCTTCTTGGACCCCAGCACTTCCTCTGAATATTATTAGAACTCCCCTCGAGGACTTTAAACTGAGAGGTATAAAATAGCTGCCTGAGGAGCAGGGGAGAGAACCCCCCTGTTTATAACTTGGGACTGTTTCCTCTAAGGCCTGGTGTGGCCTGAGCTTCTTGGTGCTGCCAACTAACATGCCAAGGCTGACCCCTTGCAGAGATGGACCTCAACTATCTCCAGCACTATGGATTCCTAAGCCACAGTGGCTAAGGGAACTCCAGCGAACAGTTTCCCAGTCTGTCCTACTGCATGCTCTTCTCTAACCCCTCATGCCTTTACAGTAGGCCTGTTGATCAGATATAATCCAGACTCCCAGATGGCCTTCGTGAGCACTGTGTAGCAGAAATTCCTTTTAGAGTCTTGTATGTAAACAACAACCTTCCACAGAATCTAGCAATGAGACAGACTGCCCACATTTATGTTCTATTGGTCACTTCAACCATGCTCAAACAGAGGAATTAGAAGCACACCTACCTCAGTATTAACCCGTGTGTAGCTGTGTTTCCCAGAATGTCTTAAGTCAACTATAGACAACAGAACAGTGGCCATGCAGTAATACTGTCACTGTGGGCTCTTTTTGACCGCTGCTTAAATGGGAGCTGCATCTTTGATACTTTTAAATCCCTTTTTAGTACCACTGTTGGGTGAATGAGATAACACATCTCATGAGGCTTTCTAGTAAAAGAAACAGATAATCAACAAGTAAGTATATGTCAGGTGGTACTAATGCAAGGAAGAAGAGGAAGTCAAAGCACCGGACAGTGTAGGAGGCACTGCGTCAGAGACAGGGAAAGCCCCTCAGATCCTTGTCTTTGTAATTTCCTTAAAAAATGTGGGGAGAGCGCATTGACATACCTTAGTTGTACAATATTACTTCAGTAGGACGCCCAAATAACTGTGAAAAGAGGATGTGAAAAGAGGTATGTATGTTCGTGAACATCCCTGGTGAGGTACGGCCACTGTGTGTTTTACAAAATCTCGAGTGTTGGAACCACAGGTGTGATTCTCTGATCTTAAGGTCCTTATCTATAAAATAAAAATAACTATCTTAGGGCTGTTGTAAAGATCCAGTCAGTCAGCCTATATAAAGTGCCAGGCATACAGTTGACACTCAGTAAACGTGGGCTGTCTTTTCTTTCTCCATTTTCCCTTCCCCTCTTCTGGGCTCTTACCTTGATTAAAAAAACAAGCCATATATATGATGTGATAGAGATTCTTATGAAGAAACCTTTAGACATTAGACTAGTTTTCCTTTATCATATTACATAAATGCTTATTTTAAAGTCTGTATCTTGCTCTGACCCATGTGGCTCAGTTGCATGTTATCCCACAAAGTGAAAGGTTGCCAGTTCAATTCCTGGTCGGGGCACATACCTGGGCTATAGGTTCCGTCCCTGGTTAGGGCACATGTAAGAGGCAGCTGATCAACTTTTCCTTCTCACATCCATGTGTCTTTCCCTCTCTCTCTCTCCATTCCCCTCTCTCTAAAAATAAATTTTAAAAAATCTAAATCTCATCTCCTTCCATTGCTGCCAGTGATACGACATTAATGAAAATTAATCCCCTGGTAATTTCTTTTATATCAGAAGAAACATCACAATAGTGACAGGTAATAAAATGTGGCTTCCTTACTCTGAAGTTAAAATCCAGGTAAACTTAGCCCTCTTACTAGGGTCTTTGAGTGTGTTTTCATTACAGAACAGCTCCAAATAACCTCACCACTCTCACCAATCACTCACATTCACCTCTCCTTTGCTGAGGAAGAAAAGGCTCTGGACTCGAAATCAGGAGAATTTGTCCTCATGATTTGATCAACATGCTTAACCTTTCAGGGCTTATAGTGTTGGGTGTGGACCAGATGGACTCTACGAGAACATCATGTACATCCCCTGAGGTTTTTCTATGGAAACATTCTTCCCCTTTCATTTCTTCCTCTATTTCCACTGCTTCTCTCATCAACAAGCCAGTCCTGCAATATTATATTGCTCCAGTTCAACGGCCCCAGGACTGTGGTATTGGCGAGTCTTCTGTATAGCTGGACAGCCTTTCCAATGAGTGATGATAAAGACACACTGTGCTGTGTTCCTACTTTCTGTTAAACACACGCGGCACTGACAGTCCTCATTCTCCCACCTTGTAAAGAGAGGCATTGCAGGGACTTTGAGCAGTGGGGAGGGAGATTTAGGACCCACTTTAGGAAAATCATTAAAAACATAAAAAGTCAGCCCTGGCTGGTGTAGCTCAGTGTATTGAGCGCTGGCCTGTGAACCAAAGGGTCTCCAGTTCAATTCCCACTCAGGTTACATGCCTGGGTTGTGGGCCAGGTCCCCCAGTAGCGGATGAGCAAAAGGTAACCACACATTGATGTTTTTCTTCTTCTCTTTCTCCCTCCCCCCGCAAAAAAAAAACAAAACTTTTTTTAATGGGCTTAGAAGATAAATTTAGAAAAAAAATAAGTCAGTAGTTTCTCCCAGTAGACTTAAGTGACTAAAAATTTAAGATGTCACACGCCTGATACTCTATTTTCACATATACAGGCTTGGCATACCACACATGTCCTATTTTGGCTTTGTCTTCATTTCTCTTCATTTCTGAAAGCCCTGGCCTCATCCATAAAACCACCATAGGCCAGGCCTGGGGGCTGGGAGCATTGCTGAGCATCATAGCCTTCAGAGTCTAATGACTCTGTTTAGCTGACCTCGCTGATCTCCTTCTCTCACCGCTTCTCACATTTAACTACTGCTTTGTAAAGTATACCATTGCCCATGTCTCTGTCTTGTCACTCCACCACACCAGGAAAGCATCCTTTCACTTCCTTGGAGAGCTCTAATGCCAAGAAATGAATAGGTATTTCTCTTCATGGGAAATTCCATGTTATCCAGAGGTACACGCCAGGAGGAAAGATAGCCATCAGGAGGCATCCTCTAAGTCCTCTGAGCCATGTCGGAAACCATGTGATGGTGCCAAGAACTGCAGCGTTACAGAGGGTGCAAACTGCTGGAGTGTGGGTCCCAGACTTTGCTTTGACTGATATGTAAAGATTCAAAAAACTTTTAAGGAACTGAGATGAGGTTGAAAACTTTTAATTTTTCAAATAAGGCCATTAAAAGAAAAGGGAAGCATACCCTCTACTACTGCCATTTCAATTTATTTCATTTCAAAAGGACAAATGAATGGTATACCCATGCAATGCAATATTATTCAGCCACAAAAAGTAGTGAGGTTCTGACACATGCTGTAACATGGAAGAAACTAGAAACATAAAGCTAAGTGAATTTAGCCAGAAACAAAAGGACAAATATTGTGTGATTCCACTTACACGAGGCAGCTACAGCAGTCAGATACGTAGAGACAGAAGGAAGATCACAGGTTACCAGGGGCTGAAGGCAGCGGGGAGCAGGGAATTATTGCTTAATTGGTACAAAGTTTGTGTTTGGGATGACAAAAAAACTTAAATAAATAAGTGCTGATGGTTGCACAACATCATGTAATTAATGCCACTGAATTGTACCCTTAAAAATAGTTAAAACAACCCAAAAGGGAGACTTTTCACACACATGCACACATACATGCAACACGGGAGTAAACAGACCATCCACAGACGCTTTCACTGAGGTGGGAGGATTGGGGAGGTGCAGATCCTGGGGCATCAGTTCAGCTGTGGAGTCAGAGAGCACTGCATCTGCTGCGTGAAGGGGCCTTGAGATGGGAATCCCATTTTATCAACTCTGTACTCCTTTGCCCAGCTTTTAATGTTCTCCATGATCTGGCCCTGGGTTGACCTAACCAATATATTCACTCATTGAACCATCTGCACCATGCAACCACTCTCCTTACCAGCCCGAGAGACACCCAGCTCCCTCTCAGTTCCTTAGTCCAGTGCTAATCCTTCTCCTCTGTTTCACCAGTCTCCCCATCTTCAGGGCCACCTCCAGAACCTCCTCTACAGGGAGGAAACTACTCTTCCTAATTATTCTGTCTTTCTAATCATCTTCAGTGACAGCCCTGGCCTTGAACACCAACACAATATAAGATGGTCTTCCCATTAAATGTCATCAACCCATAGCTGTGTACTGATCATTGTTTTCTATTCCCTAGTCTTGTATGGGTTCCTTCTCTCAATCTTACTTGATCTATACCTTACTAAACAAATACTAATAGTTGTACAAGCACTTAGTGAATATTATTATTACTGATCAGTAAAAAATAACCAATGGTTGGTATTTAGAAAGCCCACATATTCCACAGTGTTTTCTACACAAGGTTGTGGAATCTGTTTACCATAGTAGTCTCAATCCTTACAATAAACTTACTAATGGAAAAGTAACTTCATTTTAATGGAAAAGAACCTGAGATGCTGAAGAATCAAGTGACCTAGGCTAATTCATATGCTAATAAAAATCAATAAAATATTGAATAATTAACATAAAATTAATAACAATAAGTATTAAAATCAATCTCCTCATGGATTAAAAAAGTTTCCTGCCTTGGCCAGTGTAGCTCAGTTGGTTGGAGCATTGTCCTGTAAACCCGAAGGTAAAGAGGGTTTGATTCCCGGTCAGGGCACATGCCTAGGTTGTGGGTTGGATCCCTACTTATGAGAGGCAGCCGATCAATGTTTCTCTCCCTCCCTTCCTCTCTAAGCTTGTCCCTGGGTGATGATTTAAAACAACAGTTTCCTAGTATATGTCCAACTGAAAATGAACCTACGAAAGACTTTTTATATAGCAAATGACATTTATTTTGTTATTTAATAAGTGCTTTGTCAACAACCTGGGTCTATCACACCAGGTTATTGAACAAAACTGTTTTCAAGTGTAAAAAGTTATTTTCACCTTCAAAAAGTTAACAAGTGATACATATTTGTTGTAGAAACATGAGAAATAAAGAGGGAAAGTCCATAATCCCACTATTTAAAGTCCACAACTATCAAAAGATGTCTATCTTCCCACACATTTGTCTATGAGGATATGTACACCACTTTCTTTGAACAAAAAATGGGATTTGTGTGTATACATGTGTATGTGTATATATACATGATAGATAGCTTTGTCACAGGTTTTTTAACTTAATGGGGTGTAATATTTGTATGCCACATGAAAGGGAACATACACATCCATGTTCCCATTAATGACTGCCTGACTTATAAGCCAGTCTCCTATCTTTGTATGTTTACATTGGCTCATTTTTTTCTATTATATAAAAAAGGTCTGTGATGAACATTCTTCTGTCTTCGTGTACTTGTCCAATTGTTACCTTCAGGTTGTCCTGGAAGTAGGACTTACAGGTCAATGATAAGAACCCATTTTTACAATGTTTTTAAAATGAAATAGAGGTGATAGAACAGATTTGGGAGGCATGCTTTTTTTTTTTATTGCTGTGAGGTATTTAAAATTTTTTTTAACTACAAAATATTGTTTTTAATGTCACCAAATAATTTAAATAGATGGTTTCCATATTGCAGCCCCTTCAAACTATGAAAACAAATAGGTGAAAAGAATAGAAATCCAACATTGATTTGGAAGACAAGACATATCCTAATTTCAAAAGCATTTTTATTATTTCTTTAATTAAATGAAAGTTAAAAGTTAAACAGAAAAAAAG